CCCCCCACCCCTCCCCTTTTTTAAAAAAAATCTTTTCCCCTTATTCTTCTTTTTATTAAATAAATAAATACCCGTAAACAACAACAACAACAACAACAATAATAATAATTCACCCATCTTTTGCAATTTATTTATTTTATCTTCACTCATTATTTTACTTCATCTGTCTCTAAAAAAACTTTATGTTCCGTTTTTTGCGCATTCCTAAATACATCAAGTGTTTTTTGAGACGAAGAGAGCATTATTAGAAGGATCAGAGGAGTTCATTACATGCACTCGCTCAAGGATAGATGGCATGCCGGGCACTTTACCAAAACAGGAGATTGGGTGATTACTGATTAGAACCCATCGAGCCCGCGTCAGGAGCCTCGCACGAAGCTACAGGACCACCTTTGCTCGCCCTTTTTCCATTTTGACATGAGCGGGCGGCGGGGGAATGGGTTGAGGTGTGACACAGGATGACTGAGGTGGAGTCTTGGCACCTTCATCATCCGAGGAGTTTTTTTAATGTACCCCGGGATCTTGGCAAAGGGATCTGCTGGATCTAGACATTATTAATTCTTATTTATGAAATAAAAACGTTCATGCCCTACATTGGAGTATGTTTTAGTCCTATTTAGTGCAAATTTCTCTTTTTTTCAACAATTATGAATTTTTTTATTTGTACGTTTTCATTGGTTGTTACTCCCTCTGTCCACCATAGATCTTCCCAGACACTATTTACAAAGTCAAACTTTCCTCACTTTGTTTGCTTATTTTTACTAGTCATTTCATAAAATAATTTAGGTGGACGGAGGGAGCATTTGATTTAATGAAATATTCTTGGCACCTATTATTGCAATGAATTTTTCATGTAATTTTTTAAATATGTAAATTTTATTTTTTATTTCAATAAAAATATTTAAATAAAACAAATTTTTAAAAACCTTGATATTTTATCTCATTTTTTAAAATGTGGTAAATATTTAGAACCCGACACCAGCACTATAAGTCTATAATGAACTAAAATACTTCGGGTACATGCACGTACTCAATTCGATCTCCCTACCTCTACAATACATACTATCTTAGCTTGGTGTTGATAAAAAAAAACCTCCTGCCTCTTAAAATCATCTTTTTCTTTATTTTTTCTTTGTTAAAAGTTTTTAATTTTAACCATAAAATATAGAAAAAATATTGAGCTATATATGATATAAAGTGAATATAAATAGATTCATTTTAAAATAAAGTTAAAAAATTATCATGTTTTTATACTCCATCCGTCTCGTAAAATCTTTTTCCTTTTCTTTTCTCCGTCTAAAAAAATTCCTCATTTATATTAAAAAGTCACTTTTACCTCTTTTAATTCTTAACCAACATATCACATCACACTTTTCATTACCAATCTACTCATTACATCTATTTTTATCTATCACAACCATTGGCATTTTTGAAAAGTCAACATGAAAACACGTTCTCTTAAATTTCATAAATCACGCCACCTAACACAATAAATCTCTTTACCTAACATAATAATCCCCTCGTCTAACACAATAATTTCCTCAACGTAACATAATGAATCCCCCCACCTAACATAATAAGTTCTCACACTTGAACTAAATAAAATATCTCGACTCATCCACTATATATTTAGGATTTATCTATCACAATGCCACCACCAAATTTCTTCAAATACACTCTTACTTATCTACTCACTCATTACTCCTTACATTTCCAAAAATGGCTTCTGATCATAGCTTTATCTTTCTAGCCCATTGGAATGGTGAGTTCATAATCGAGAATAATGAGGTTGAGTACTCATTGCATTCAAACAAAGTATTTTTCTTTGATCTTGATGTGTCATTCGAAAAGGTTTTCAATAAACTCTTCGATGCTATTAGTGAATAATCTGAATTCAATCAGAAAAATTTGGGAGAAATATCTCAAATACAAAGATGGAGTGTATGCCGCATCACGTTCTTTCCCCATTTTTGAAGAACGAACATGGAGGTGTTTCGTTCAAAAAACAACCAAACAATACAATGGACTTAAGGGTTTACCTATAGGTACTCAAAATTGAAGGTCAAGTTCCCGGTGAGGAAGAAATAGTCGCATCACAAGAAGAAGAAATGGAGGAAGAACAACACGACCACCACCAAGAACAACAAAAATGGGGGGACATCATTTTTCATGGGATGAGGTGGGGTTGTCGAACACGCCACAAGACATGAATGACGAAAGTGACCTCGACAATCCAACATACTCTGATAATTCTGAGGATGAGAGTTCTTCCGAGGAGTCTAAAGTATCTCGATAGGTCTCTAAGTACACCATAGTCATGTACGTAGAAGAGCCTTCATTTTTTTCAAAAAATTAACAGTATTTCTTTATAGAGTAAATTTTATAATTGGTCCTTTATAATATGGGGATTTCCGTATTTAGTCCTCTATTATCAAATATTATCCCAGTGGTCTTTCTTTTATTTGCATCTTTCCACAAATAGTCCTTTTTTGATCTTCTATCATGTTGGTGTTAATTTGAGGGCCAAAAATGTAATTTCACAATGATAATATATCGTTTTTGTCATACCCAATTCCAAAGGTTGTTCCGTTTACGTCGTTTGTGAATTACATTTACTTTCTAGTATAACCATAGTCTGCAAATGTGATCTTCCGTCGAAATCCTAACCCACAATCATAGTCATTATTTTTGTGTTATCCGCTTAACCAATATCAGAACACGTCACTAGGCATAATATTGATGTCAAATTATACTTTTAACCTTTAAATTAATACCCACATTGCGGAAGATAAAAAAAGATCATTTGTAGAAAGACACCCTTAAAAAAGGACTACAAGGGTAATATTTGATAATAGAAGACCAAATACGGAAACCCTTATTTTAAAGGACCAATTATATTTACTCTTTCTAATATTTCGAATTTGCCTCGGCATTTTATGTTTTGCTCAAATTTGGAAGTCCATGTATTTCTAGGAACAACCTTTAGAACTCCCAAATTACGTTTCTAACCACTGCTGATTGAATTATTTTCTGTCCTTCTTCTACCCAGGCTCCAATTTTACCTGCACGGGGAAGGGAGGGAATCCCAAAACGCCATTTGTGCTCTTCCACCACAATAACAAAACGT